TCCTTGTGTGAGGAGCTCACTCTTTCCACATTGATCAGATCAGGCCAGCCGGCGTCTCAAAAAATTCCTCAGCGTCCCCACAGCCCCGTAAACCAACTTCTGCTCACAAGAATCCGACTCAACATGCTGAAACAGACTCGAGAGTTTCGCCATCGCCGCGCCGCAAGTCGGACACTTGAAGGGACTGGCATGACACTGTGTAACGCCGTAGTCGAGGAGATCAAGCTGACAACACTCGTAGTTGATGAAGTCGGGCCATTTGCGGCATTGAGCTGCGAGCATGTTTAGATCAGCGTGATCGAAGTCGCCGCAGGTGCCGCGTTCGAGATGGATGATCTGTGATAATGAGTTACGAACTAAAGTAGAAACAGGTAGAGAGCTTACCATGCCGCCATAGGTCTTAAATGTAGCGTCACATTCATAGCACTCATACTTTGCTCTACGATGAGAAATCATATGCTGCGTATTCTCAGCACATTACACCTATTCAGTCAAAACTTCGTAGCCTACTTGATAAAGATTGCTTGACGTATCGAAATGCCGTTGGCACGTTATACACTGGTTGCATTCATGGAGATGCTCGTAATACTCGTCGCAATCAAGAGCCCAGTGCGCTCCTCGGCCATCGTCGCAACCCTGGCACACAGAACGGCAACCCATTTTACGACAATGCTTGAGTAAGTCTTGCCAAGTGGCGCCGTCGTAGTCGCATACTGGACACTCGTTGTGGTTTGAAGAGTCGCGAATGTGTTGCGCCCACGCGCTATATAGACCGAAAGTACGCTGGCAGCGCTCACATTCACTGCTCGTTGTCAGTAGATGATGAATACGCAGAGCAATTACCTACACGCGCCACACCATGACTCACAGATGAACACGGATTCTCGTCGGCGTGGCGATTGTGTGTTTGATGTGGGCTTGAGATGAGACGTTCGACTCGCAATGAGGATTATATGCATGCCGGTAATCACGGAAATTCCCGACGCTCGGATGCTCGCTGGTGGGGTATACAGCGTGTTCTCTGCATCTAATACAGCTCGGGCAACTACCACCAGTCAACAACACAGACAAAGGTGGAGTGGAATTTTATGGTAATTGCTTCTTTTTTCTCGCTAAGAAAATAATGCCAGAAATGATAGAAACACTAGCCCGCGCATGCGGTAAAAAGAAGTGGTACGCGTGGTTGGAAGCGATGGCATATTCCTACACTGAAGATCTAGTTAGGCATAGCCTCAGCTCTATGAACTCCATTCCTTGAAAGCCTTCTGCTTTTGCCTGCTATTCCACTGCAGAGTCCTCGAGATACTATCGATCCAATCCGTTCTCCTCTTGTTCAGTGGCAGCACGCTGGGGAACGGGAAGCGACTTGCGCTAATCGTAACGTAGTCGCCAGGCTTGAGTTCGACCCTTTCTCTGCCGTCAAAGCTGGCCCAAGAACTTGTTCTCGCGTCGTATGGTACACCGCACCGGAGTACGATGGTATCGGGAAGGATGATAGGTCTGAACGAGAGCGTATGTGCGCAGATGGCGGTAACGAGGACCACAGGGTTGTCGGGGTGGCAGAGCGATCCACCTGCCGCAAGGTTGTACGCAGTCGAGCCCGTAGGCGTAGATACGCAAATACCGTCAGCCTGCACAGTCGTGAAATGCTCGTCGTCTCCGAACAGCTCGATGGACGACATTGTAGGGTTTGGGCCCCGGTCTACGACCACCTCGTTCAAGATGTTATGTGTACCATCGGAGTAGTGGGTATGGTGGTCGTCGATTTCCTCCCCGATCAGTTCTTCGACCAGATCGCGGCCCTCGCCGTCCCGTTGTTGGGATCGCATGATGGTAGCTTCGAAGCGGAGACGCAGGCTGACGGTGATACCGTCCGCGAAGGCGGTAGATAGGGATTGCGGGTATAGTTCGAAGTCGAATTTGGTGAGGAAGCCGAGCGAGCCTAGTGAGAAGGAAATCGTTGGAGGTACGATGCGCTGGAAGAGCCATGACGCATATAAGACTGTGCCGTCACCACCCAGCTGTGTTGTCATTAGCCTTGAAGACTCCGCAGTATGACATGTCTTACCGCGAGGACAATGTCAAAGGTCTGTGGCTTTTGAGCGCACATCTCGTTGGTCCAGAATTTGAGACGCCCTTGAAACCCCTCGTTCTCCAACAGCCCAGCGGCATCGAATAGCTTGTTGTCCTCCAGCGTCTGCTCGACGTAGCTATGTCTCGTTAATCGTGTCCGTTGCTAGGCAAAACTAGCACATACACCGTATGCTCCGAGCTCTTCCGCAAAAGCCAGTCGGTCACCTCGCGCGAGTTCTTGATCAAGGCCTCGTCGTGCGCTTTGCCGAGGATAAAGATGTTCTTCACATGCAGCTTCAGCCTGATCTGTGACAGCTTCTTGGACAGCTCGCGAATTCCAAACGCCATATCTGACAGCTCCTTCTTGGTCAACAGCCGCGAATGTTGCGTCTGCTCCGAGCGCGCCGAGGCCGGGTCTTTGTCGACGCGCCGTTCCTGCGCGAGGCCTTCGTGCGATTGGGAGTGATCTTGTACGGGCAAGCCATCGTGCTTTTCGAGCAGGGAGTGTACGATACACGCGGTGGTACGGCGACCGTTCTCAGGGCGGGACGTCATCTTGCCAGAGGGTGGGGGAGCGAGCGAGGCTTTGCGACGATGGCCGCTATATCCGCCTTCGAAGACGACCTGCAATTATTGGTCAGCGCGTGGAGGAAGGATGCAGTGGAGTAGGTACCTCTAGCGCATCGTCATGGCTGGTCACCTTGGTGATATTCTTGGTGTCTTGGTCTCCAAGCTCGCTCTCCATGAGGAAGTTAGCTTCAACGCGTCGTTATGACGTTTGGGGGGTGCATAGGTACCTCGATTGCCTCCTGAACGCCAGGGCTCAGCTGATCGAAATAACTCGTCGCCATGGCTGAAGTGCGCAAATAGTCCTGCGGTTGAAAGGGCCAAGAGACACAGCTGCCCTTTTGTAGCCTCGCTGTAGCGCGTGCGTAATGTCCAAGGTGCAACAGTAACTGCGGTTCTCGGCCCACTTTCCGAGGGGCAGGCACGCCCGGCCCCGCTTGCTTCCAATCATGTCCGCGCAACGCCGATGAGATCAGCCGCCGGCGTCCTTACTCATGCCTTTTGCTCAACCACCATCGTTTTCGTGGTGGTAGTCTTGCTGACAAAGGATGCTAAAGCGGAACTTCCACTGATTCTAGCACTTCCTCAATGACATCCTCAACCGTGACACCTTCGAGGACAGCCTTGACCGCCTCGAGTGAGCTGCCCCATTGCATGCTGCGCTCGTTCTCTGGTGCAGTGATGACAATGCGATGTGGGTATATCTTGCGAGCGGCAAGGGCGATCATGGACGGCGAGATATAATCGAGACCGTGGAGTGGGGCGAGTGTGCTACTGCTGTCAATACTGTTCTGCTGGGATAGTGGACCACTTACTGTGCCAGCGTGTTGAAGTGCCTCGTGGCCAAAGCAGAGATGCCTCCTGCAACTGCTCGATGCAGTCGCATGAATACGATAATGTTGTATAGATAGGCTCTTACTTCAGAACTGATTCTGACTTGCGAGACCAGCTTCGTCAAGGTCTCAAGGTCCTGTCCTTGTTAGTACAGAACAGGCATACTACGGTCGACATACATCAGGTAGGAATAATGCTTGTTGCTGCTTGTGCTTTCCCGGTTGGAATGGCGGCGTGCGAACTACGGAAGACATTGATGCGCCGTCGTCTGATGCATGATTCTTCTCTTGCAGCTCTTCAAGATTAGGCAGTCCATCATCTGCTTGATGCTTGTGTGAGATGAAGAACTGATCATTCTGTAGCGTTGTTAGACTCTGCATCATGATTGCAGGATAGACCTACCAGATGCATCGTTAAACGCGGCGTGTCTGAAGCATTCAGGGCAATGAATAGAAATGGTTTCGGAGCCGCATGTACCGCTGTCCTCGTAAAGTTCCGCTTTCCGCGTATCAGCTGTCTATCGTTAGTTATGCTCGAGCAGAAAAGACGATTGATGCACCTCCAAGGCCTGAATCTGAACCTGGGGGTTCGCCCTGTTGAGATTTCTTGCGATGACAATGTTCGCGATGCGTTGGTTATCCAATGGACTGAACGGTTTGGATGACCTCGATGTATGTCCGCCAGGCTTCCCAGGTGATACTGAGATGGACGAAAACTGGCTAGACATCAGTCGCTGGCAAATCAGTCTAGACGAGCACAATTTACCTCTCCTATACCACGCCCAGCTTTGTTGCCGAAGTAGTCGTTCTCTTCTCCTCTCACAAGGATTCCGCTTCCGAAATCGTCCAGCGTGGTGTGCTCGGTGCATTCCAGTACAGCCCATGTTAGTCCGAAAGTATTGGTAGCGACCTATTGTTGTAAGCACACAGGCAGTCGCGCAGTGCGAAGCAACTCACAAGTTTCAACTCCTCCAGAACATCACGGGTCAGTTGCCTTTCCGCTTCGATGATGCAATGTTGATCCGCGACCAAGCAGATGAGAACGGCAAGCTCCAGATCGCTGAGCGACTGCACTTTTTCTGTGATGCGATCTTCCGAAGCTTCCATAGTCGATAAGATCTGGGGAGGCTTTCTTCGTTCTTGTGAAAGTCCTAGAAGCCTGTAAGAAGTCTGGCGACGAAAGTGCTTGGACGCGATGGCTGTTTCCAAAGTCGCGTTCGGTGAGCGGACAGGGATGCGATGCCGCTAGGTTAAGAAAGGACTAGACTCGAGTCCCCTGGAAGTCGCGCCCGGGCGGGCTGTGAGGTCACCGCCAGAACATCTTCACGAGGAGCAGCTCAGCACATGCACAACACCACACATCTAAGTGATTTTGCATTATCAGTAGCTTCGCATCGTTACAGTACGTCGGAATACCGAGAGCCATAGGCCTTGCCTAATGGACCGCCACCCGCAATGCGCTCCTAACCCAGTTTCTACCTCATCGGACCCCATTTCTTGCCCGACATGGCACCTTCGCTCCCAAGCTTAGCCAGACTTCTTCACAGCGCCTCTGATCTCTTCTTTCGGTGTGTCGACGAGACGAAGACTCTTCCAAGTGGTTGACGGAGTAGTTTTGGGTACTGCTGGGGAGCTCAGTGCAGGAAAGGCTTCTGCGACGTGAGGGACCTTGCGCAGTGTAACAGGTGGGCTGACAGACGACTGAACAACAGCTCGGCCAGTCCATGCGCCACCAACGGCTGCTGGCTCTGCTGCGCGAATGTCCCTAGATCCGGTCTTGGTGCTTGACGCGCGAGAAGGCTTTGACTTTGGCGCGGGCTTCAACTCTTTCAATGCTTGCTCAGCTTCTTGTACCTTGCCCTCAAGTGCCTTCCTCTTATCTTTTGAGTCGTTGACATCGGCAGTCGCAGTGTCTAGAGTGTTCTGCCAGATGGTTGCAAGCCCGTCTAGGTGTTGGAGTTCGGCGACTTGACGAGCGAACACCACTGCTGTATCGGGGATGTGCGGGTCTGCAACTGTCGGCTGGTTCTCGTGATGCGGCATGGGGCTCGGTGTGTGTTCTCTTGATAGCTTCTCGTTCTCTCTCTTCAACTCATCGTAGTCGGTCTGGAGTACAGCCTTCTCAGTCTGGAGAACCTGGTTGTCGTTGCTGAGTTGGTCGTAACCTTCCTTGAAAGCTTTGGCTTCGTCGTCGCGGTCCTTGTACTTCTTCTCTAATTCCGATTTTGTCCGCCTTAGTAGCGCTTTCTCTTGGTCACCCTGCAGAGCCCTGGCTTGCTGTACCTCTTTCTCGTCAAGGATTCGATCGTAAAGCAAAGCCTTTGCTTCCGCTTTGCTAAGTCGCTCAGCAAGCTTCGCTTTCTCGTCGCACACACGTCCTTCAACCAATTTTTGTACGTTGTTGTAGTAGCCCTTTACAAGCTCATGATACTTGCCGTTCAAACTTTTTTCTTTTCCAGCGAACCTGCCTTCAACTGTTTCCAAACGTGATTCCAGCTCCTTCGTTTTGCGCTTTTCATCCGAGAGTGCCGTTTCAAATTCCGCTGCCTTCTCTCTTGATTCGTCCAGAGCACTCAATGTAACCTTCAGCTGATGCCTAGTATCCTTGAGCTCCTGTATATCGGTTGGTTTGTTCTCCCGGTAGAATCGATCGAAGGTGACTATTATCTGTGAAGCTAGCTCGTATCGTAGATTCTCGACCATCTTGTCCGATGCGTGGTGATATATGCATGCTGGCAGAGAATCCTGGGAGATTTGTCTTTCTGCCTGTGACAACGGTTCGTCGCCGGTAATTTTTAGCGGGGTGTGACCCTGACTGAGAGCGTTTCGGGTCAACTGATCGAGCCAGGCGGCTGCCTTCTTCGAAGCAGCCCCATCGAGTGTGGTACTCAGAGTATTGAGGAGACTCTCCAGGTCGCTGAGTTCTTTTCTAATTATCCCACCCGTTTGAAGATTCAGAAAATCAAAGCCCAACTCTGTAGTGATTTCCATGACAGCTCACTAAGTCTCTGGCGGTGACCTTGTATGTCGATCAGTTATCCGTACCAGGGTCGAGAAGTCGTAGTGTGCTTGAACAATTGCGTGCACAGCAAAACAAAGGGCGGGCTTGGATTCCTGGTTTCGTAAATCTGGCGTTGATGCAAGAGTCTTGACAGTATCGTGAGTTGACGCAGGTCCGCGGTACGAGCACAAAGTCGTGGCTTTTCGAGAATAGGTTGAGGGGACGCGGCGTTTGCAAACCAATAGGTGGGACCAAGGACGCGTTGAGCAAGTAAACAAACGCGTTTGCTGTTTTGAGCCTACGTCATCAGCGCGAAAGTCCTCTCACTGCGCTCTGAACCCATTAGGCCGCATCGTTTCCGGATCTATGCTGAGCTGCCGCCCTACCCATCGCCATCGTCAACAATGTCATTCAGCTCGAGAGGTGCAGGCAGCGACATTGTCAATCGTCTACGAGCCACGGCAGTAACGTTTACACCTTTGGCCTCCCAGAGCGACGCGAAGTCTTCTCACAATGACGAGCGACAGACTAACATCACCTCGAAGAGTTCAAGTTTTCTATTCCCAGACGCTCAAACAGACGAAACGCCAGGCAGCTCCAATGTCAAAGTAGCAGACGGATCTGAACTCAAAGTTGCAGAGCGCGAGATCAAACTAGACTGCACCTTCTGCGCTTCCCTAGGCCAACCACTCCAGTGCTGCCAATCTCCCACGGCCTCACATCCCTGCCCTCACTGCGACGAGCTCAGCCAACTCTTCACCCGCAAAACCGATGAACATAAAGACGAGTTAGCCACTCTGCACGACAAGCTACAGCGACTGGAAGAAGAGACACCGGAACAAAAGTTCACCAGGCTATGCAGCGAAAAGAACACGAAGATCGATATGTTGAAACGCGAAGTCGAGCAGATCAACAAGGAAGACGAGTCGTTGAAAGCGGAGAACAAGGGGTTGGAGAAGAAGCTGAAGGAGCTCGAGGCGGAGATCAAGAAGTTACAGCCACCTGCTGCGTTCACGGTCAAGGAGAAGAAGACTAAAGGGAAGAAGAAATAGAGTTTTGGAGCTTCCAAAGGCGTCATGTTGCTGGGACTGGATATGAGAAGCGCTCTTTGTCGATTACATGATGGTTTGGTACTGGTCCTACCTCTTCGGCGCGGCTTTGTAGTCTCTCCGCTAATCAAACGAATTACACTGATACCAAGAACCCAAGACTGAAGCTTCTTAGTATCCGCATGCACAGGCTGAGGTAAATCGTATCATGTTTCCTATCCAGAGTTCCCCAGACGTCGTCGAGCTTGTTCCAGCTTGGCGTTCAGCGATGCAACCTCTGCTTTCTTCATCTCGATCCAATTTAGCCTGGCTAGGTCTTTGCAGGTCTCTCCGTGGTCTCCTTCGACGCCTTAAGATCTGCGTTTTCTTTCTCTAACCTCGCATTCTGTTGCTCAAGCTCCTGAACTCTCGCTGTTGTGCCCGCTACCTACTTCAAAGCAGTTGCAAGCCGTCGGTCCAGTGTCTTGGCATCATATCGGGTGAGGTTGAGATCACTCTCGGTGTTAGTCAGAGCCTCATGCGTGAAGAGCTTGTCGACGCGCAATTTATAGATTTCTTCGTCCTTCGAATCAGATGTTTTTTTGAGCTGAGCAACCTTCAAATCAGATGTTCTTTTGAATTGAGCAACCAGTGTCTGCAGTGGCGCATACACCGTCTCCATGACCAGGTGGCGCAATATCTCGGCGTCAAGTTCTTGGCTCCGCAACGCAAACTCGTCATCGCGCAGCTAAGTACTCAGCTCTGTTAAGGCGGCCTCGGAAGCTCTCTCATGGTCTTCATCGTCGAGCTTTGCTTGCTGTAGCTTAGCCATCTGTTGGCTGATGCTCTTGATGGCGGCCTTGGCCTCAGCAATCGCTTCGCCAGCACGGTAGCCTTCGGAAACCAGAAGAGCTATTGAAGAATGCACTCTTCGCAAATTAACTGCGATGAGAATCATATCCTTGTCATCTAGCTCAAAGGTTGTTTTGACCCATTCCAGGAAATCGTATTGTAGTGTGACGTCATGCGTCGCGTCCTCCGTTGATGGAGTAGTCGCGGATGGTATTGGTGAAGATACAGGATTGTCCGGACTGAACAGCCTGGAGACTGCGGATACCCACTCTTGCGTAGTAGCTCGATGCCGTTTACCAAAGGGACTCCCCGCTGGACTTCCGGTAGAGCCGTGCTTACTGGAATCGCCCTGGATACCGGAGAACGTGTTGTCGTCTGGCCTTTTAAAGTGGAAGCCTTCTTCATCAGCAAGTGTAGGCGCCATGGATTCCTTGGTCTGGCCATCCGCTGGTGGGTGAGGAGGGAACGGGAGGAAGCGGTATCCCTGAAAATCGTTTTGGGAGTTATAGCTTGTGCGCGTTTGCTTCGAAGCAGTCTCAGTATCGACTGGTGAGCTGCCGTCTGACTTTTCGGGGTTTTGCGATTTCATTTGGTCGGCTTGCTCGTCCGTTGGCGACGCGCCGGGCATGATGGAATCTGAGACTGATGCGGTCGCGTTCCGTAGGTGTTTGGTCGTCCGACGTGCGTCGTGCTGGAAGAGTGAATGTGTTCGTACCTTTGGTGCGTTCTATTAGGGCAGGCGGTTGTTGTTCCCGGAAGTCGGTCTGTTTTTGGAAAACGGCACAACTGTCAGGGTCGGATGGGAGTTGCGATGGAAGTTGTTGGTGCTTGTTTGTTCTATGTCATAACGGGAAATCGCGCTGGGACCTGCTGTACAGCCTTGAAAAACAGTCCGTAAAGTGACCGGCTCTTATTACACAATCAATCACCCTTTGTTCTTCGCGATCCACTCTGCCTGACGTCGCCTGTATAATCTTCTCTCCTTGCCCAACCTTTTAAGAAATATCTCGACCTAGTCCAACTCTTCAAACCCATCGGCTCGACCAGACTTCAACGACGTAAAAATGCCAAAAGAGATGCCAGAAAGCAGCGCCCAAGAAAAGCGCGACTACATCAAGGCGTTGAAAATACAGATAGAGGAAGCAGAAGAAGAAGACAAGAGGCTAGAAAGAGATCTAGAAGAGCGGAGGCAGGAGCTGAAGGAGCTGGAGGCCAAAATTAGGGAGAAAGAAGGTATACCATCAAACTAGACATGGAAAAGAAGATGGCGAGGAAGAAGTGAGTAATAGGTAGAAGGGCAGCTTCGGTCAGGTCTTGGTTGATGTGAGGCGGTCTCACGATGAATTCCACGGATTGTATGACAGTAGGAAGGCCCCACACATATACGCAGCTGATGAGTGTTCTTCTATTTGGACAAAGCTGTGAATGGCAGTCAGTTCCCATCGTGCTCGTTGTTCAAGGATCGCGCTCCGCGGTGATGTTGATGAATGCATGCAAAGACCGCGACGTGAAGGCAAGACTGCGCATACAATGACATCTGCCACTTCCTGACTCGAATGCGAAACCCGAATGGTGAAAGCTCAAACCCCACAAATATCAGAACAGCGTGGCCTCTTGGGAGTTTGGTGGGAGATTCGCGATAGCTCAGGGACGGAGCTACGGCTAGCGCGCGCACGGGTAATTTCCCCAGCGACACGTTGCGAAAGCTCACGAAGCAAACCCCCTCTCCATCTTCCATCAACTGGCTGTTCGCAACCACCTTCTTCACCTTCTCGTTGTCTTCTTTCTTGTCTCTGGGCCATAGTTCGCAATCATGAGCGGCCGTAAGTCTCCACCCCACACGTCAATGGCCCGGCGAGGCGTGCGCGCAACACCTGCGAGGAATTAATTACGGCGCGGACGAACACCACAGCTAACGGTTGCACGTAGTACGGTTCCTCGATCTCGTCAAGCCTTTTGTGCCTCTGGTTCCTGAAATTCAGCTGCCAGAGAGCAAGGTTCCTTTCAACAACCGCCTGGTATGGACCGGTCTGACCCTCCTCGTCTTCCTCGTCATGAGCCAGATGCCGCTCTACGGAATCGTGTCGTCTGATACCTCCGACCCGCTATACTGGCTCCGCATGATGATGGCGAGTAACAGAGGAACGTTGATGGAACTGGGTATCACCCCCATCATCACCTCCGGCATGGTTTTCCAGCTCCTCGCGGGAACCCACCTCATCGACGTCAACCTCGACCTCAAGTCTGACCGCGAGCTCTACCAGACCGCGCAGAAGCTCCTCGCTATTCTCCTGTCTTTCGGTCAGGCCGTCGTCTATGTCATCTCGGGTCTCTACGGACAGCCATCCGACCTCGGTGCCGGTATCTGCGTTCTCCTCGTCATTCAGCTGATGATCGCTGGTCTGATCGTTATCCTCCTCGACGAGCTCCTCCAGAAGGGCTACGGTCTCGGCAGCGGTATCTCGCTCTTCATTGCCACCAACATCTGCGAGTCCATCATGTGGAAGGCTTTCTCGCCCACCACCATCAACACTGGTCGCGGTCCTGAGTTCGAGGGTGCTCTCATTGCCCTTGTCCACCTGCTCTTCACCTGGCCCAACAAGACTGTTGCGCTCAAGGAGGCTTTCTACCGCCAGAACCTCCCCAACGTCATGAACCTGATCTCCACCGTCATCGTTTTCGGTGCTGTCATCTACCTCCAGGGCTTCCGCGTCGAGATCCCCGTCAAGTCTGCCCGCCAGCGTGGTGTCCGCGGCTCATACCCTGTCCGTCTGTTCTACACCTCCAACATGCCCATCATGCTGCAGTCGGCTCTGTCCTCCAACGTATTCTTGATCAGCCAGATGCTCTACAACCGTTTCTCCGACAACCTCCTCGTAAAGCTTCTCGGTGTCTGGGAGCCCAAGGAGGGTTCCGCTCAGCTTTTCGCTACCTCCGGTGTCGCCTACTACATGTATGTCTAGTCAGAGTTCACGCTACAGAATCAGCCACTAATCAGCTCCAGGTCTCCCCCTCTCAGCATCACAGAGGCCCTCTCCGACCCCTTGAAGACCGCCATCTTCATCGTATACATGCTCGTCGCTTGTGCTGTCTTCTCCAAGACATGGATCGAGGTTTCCGGCTCGTCTCCCCGCGATGTTGCCAAGCAGCTCAAAGAGCAGGGTCTGGTCATGGCTGGTCACCGTGAGGAGTCCATGTACAAGGAGCTCAAGCGCGTCATTCCTACCGCTGCTGCCTTTGGTGGTGCCTGCATTGGAGCTCTGTCCGTCGGCAGCGACCTTCTCGGTGCTCTCGGTAGCGGTACTGGTATTCTCCTTGCCGTAACCATCATCTACGGATACTTCGAAATTGCCGCCAAGGAGGGCGACATGGCCGGCCTCAAGGGCATGGTCATGGGCTAGATTAGCCCATAGGGATATTGGATTTTTGATTTGAACGACGGATGGGTTGGGGCTGGGGTGCTTCGCCGCACATTGTAACATATGATCTAAGAACAAAAGTTTACGAAGGTCTCTGGCATCACTTTACGTACTGCAGCGTGGCGTCTGGCTAGGCTCACGATGTCGGCCCTTCTCTAATGTATCATTGTTAACCCTTAAACTTCCTTTGGACTTGATCGCACCTGCAGTATTCATTTGAAGCAATCACGTGTTCAGCCTTGGCGTGTTGCTCCTGGCGCTTACTCATCGAGCTTTAGTCGTTCATGCCCTTTCTGCTGCTTGCACCTAGATATTGCATCCAACGACAGGTATGCCTCCGCCGTCATCAAGAGCCCACGTCATGGCTTCAGCCTTCAACGGCAGTATCGCATTGGTCAGCTTAGCGAATGCGAAATGTGGCTTACGTGCGTACCAATCCGCCACGCTAACGCATGCTGCGGTCTGCGATGCGAAAGTCTGGGCATTGCGGCCTAGGATACATCGTCACACACGGCACTGAGGCGTTTTACACATGGGTAATGCGAAGAATAAGCGAATGCGATGTACTGCTGCGGATGCGAAATCTGGTCATGATGCACTGCGTGTCTTCAGTTTGGACGAGTACATAAGATGGGGTTATCGCTGCTTGAGGTGAGGTATTGCACCCATCTATCTCACTTCTTCCTCGAGTTCTAGTACTCATACTTGATAGTTTTGCTCGGATTCCTGTTAAGCCGTCATCATGGCAAGCTCACTTAGCTTCGCTCATGCTACGCTGGACTGGAAACGACAAAATCCACCTAAAGGGCCAGACTTCGATTGGGAAATGTACCGTTATGTTCCTTCCATGGCTGGAGCGATTGTCTGTCTCGTCGTGTTCTTCGTCATGGCTCTTCTACATTCATATCAGTTTCTCAAGTCGAGGAATCGGATTATCGTCTTTGTGGTCATCGGCGCGTTATGTACGTTGTATCCTCTTTCTGATCCCTCACAGAACAATGGCATCCCTTATGCAATGTCTTGAAAATCTGCTAACCTGCGATTGCAGGCGAAGTTGGCGGATACGGCGCACGCATCGCTTCTCACTTCGACAATCAAGCCTGGGGTCCATACATCACTCAAGGTGTACTTACACTTGTCGGTCCTTTGTGGTTCGCCGCAACCATATACATGATGCTTGGTCGTACCATCAGACTCGCCGGCGGAGAAGACGTCAGTTTGATTCCAGCAAGGTGGTACACAAGGATCTTCGTTACTGCGGATGTCACGACGTTGATTATCCAGGGCTTAGGTACGTAGACTCGACATAGATGAAGACCGCATGAACATGAGCTAACGACTTAACAGGCGCCAGCATCATGGGCACCATGCAACTCGCTCTCGCCCTCGCAGGCGAGAAGATTGTCATCGCCGGACTCGCACTGCAAGTCGCTACCTTCATCGTCTTCCTCGTCGCCTCTTTCGATTTCCAAATCCGCATGAACAAGAAAGCCGATCACCCTTCAGCAGACTGGAAGAAGATGCTATACATACTCTACAGCGTCAGTGCGCTGATCTTGTTCCGCTGCACATTCAGACTCATTGAGTATGCGATGGGCAACGCTGCGTATCTGATTGCGCATGAATGGACCCTGTATTGCTTCGATGCCGTGCCAATGTTTTTGGTCCTGGTTTTGTTGTTAGTTTTGCAGCCGAGTCGCTACGTTGAGGGTAACTTGGGGAAACCGCAAGTGGACCGCGATCCAGAGATTGGTACTGTGGAGAGGAAGTGATAGCTTTGGGTATATTTGATCAGTACTTTCAGCGTGCTTTGAGCGATTTTCCTCAGAACTACCCATGTTCTCTTTTTTCTTTTTCTCCTTAGTCTGCCTACCATGTCATCTTTGTGTTGAGTACCCCTGTTGTGCTTGGCTGGACTCACGCAGATGGAACATGGCAGATGCCTACGGCTTTGTACAGCAGACTGTAACATATTTTCACATGCCAATAACGTTTATTGAGCTCGATAGTCAGCCGTTGCGCGGACTTACCTAGGTACTCCGACCCCTATGACGTGCATGACTAGAGCATCGTAGGTCAGATCTTAGCTCCCAGACTTTCGGGTAAGCGCACCCAGCCACATTCGGGCGGGACGCCTCACGCAGCACCACCTCATCCTTTCACATGATGTGATTCCGCCATTCATACTAGCTACACACAGACACATGCATCATCGGGATGACACGCCGCTCCAATACATTTGTTACCAAGAGGCCGCATCGCAAGTCGCGGGGCGGGTGTTTGACCTGCAAGAAGAAGAAGGTGAAGGTAAATTTAGTCTAACAGTGCTCACATACGAACGTGGTATTGATCTGGTGCAGTGTGACGAAACGCAGCCCATATGTGGATACTGCAACCTCCGGAAGCTGGAATGCGAATACACCCAGGATATCACATTGACATCTCGGGCTTCGTCGGCACGTCCATCGTCTCGTGATGAGGTTCTACCATCTACGTCCAACAGTCCAGTAGATTTCAACGACCTTTCCATCCAGTTGGTACCATATGTCAACCCACACTGCCATACATCTATAGGCACACTCACGGCCCTTGACAATCAACTACTCCAATACTACAGAACAGATGCCTACCGCACCGTTGTATCGTGTGACGATGCCATCATACAAAAGCTACACAAAGAGACCATACCCCAATTAAGCATCTCCAACCCATTTCTCCTATACGCTTTACTCGGCATGACAGCAACATACAGCAACAACATCACACCCAACAAGACCGTCGAGAAGCAAGCCCTACTCTACCGTCAAAAGACCTTCTCAGCCTACAAGGAAGCCCTCAAGAACATCACAGCCGAAAACTACGAATCCGTCCTCGTAACAGGTGGTCTCCTTCTCGCGCTCGTCCCCGGACCGACCTCCGACGAAGACGAAGACTATTTCGACTGGGTGCTCGGCCTGCTCAAACTAAGCGAAGGCCTACGTATCCTCGCCTCCCTCCGCTGGGCACAAGGCATCGAGAAACTCTCCGTGTACCCTCTAGTACGCCGGGAGATCAAGACGCTGCCTCCACCACCCATCGTCGATGTCGCAGCCATCGAAGCGCCCATTGGGCCGCTGGGAACTACGCCTGATAACCCCAATCCTGCACCAACATACACGCCCATCCACTTCCCCACGCAAACCCGCCTCTTTCTTCCACCGCCCCTGATGCAACTCCTCCAAAGCGTTATCCGAGGAAAGGAGTCAGGGACACTAGATTGGCATCGACCAACTCTTCTTCCCGTCTTCCACGCTCTATCCCCCATTTTCCTATCTCTGTATTACTACGGGCTAGACTCTGACTTCTACGTCCGCATCTTCGTCTGGACATCCTTCCTCATGCCAGACTACCTCCAGCTGATGCGAGACAAGGAACCAAGGGCCCTGGTTCTGTTCGGGTGGTGGTTGACGTTGGCAAATCTAGCACCGAAGGGGTGGTGGACGGGGAAGCGAGTGCGTAAGACTATTGGGGCGATGTTGCGGGCGATTCAAGCGCAGCCTGTGGGGGATGGTGGGTTTGCAGAGCGCGTTTTGGAGGGTGCGTTGCGGATTGTGGATGTTGTGGATAGGGAGGGGAAGGAGGCGGCGGCCAAGGCGGTGTTCGATGATTGGCCTGGGGTCAGTTGGGAGGAGGGGCTGGTTAGGGCTCAGGCGTGGGAGTATGGTCCGTTGGTGGATTTGGGGCAGTTGGATGGCGGGTTGAATATGGATGCTGCTGTGGGTATTGATCTACAAGAACTTGGTATATCGGTCTGAATTTGAGCTTTGAATATCATTGCGCACGAGTCAGCTAGCTGTAAGCCGCTTATTGCCCTATCTCTGGAGTCGTTCCGGTAGTCTCTGCTGCAACACTCTTGTTTCCTGCCTCCGAGTTTTCTTGGTCCTTCCCGCCTTTTGGCTCCCTGAGCATGCAATATAGCTTGATAGCGTCCTTTTCTCCCTCTCCATCCCTGCACTCCATCTCCCTCGCCAACCGAAAGCCAAACTTCTCATAGATGGCGATATTTGGCTCACTCCTGCTACTCTCCAGATAGCACATTCTCCCCTCCTTGTCAGCCATTTCCAGCACCTCTTCCATCAATGCCCTTCCCACACCCTGTCCCTGACACTCAGGCAACACAGTCACGATATTGCAGAAATAGTATCCCTTTGGGTCCGTCCAGAGTTCAGACTGCGCCTCCGCCTGTCGTGCCTTCCATATCCAATACCGTGTTGTGCTGAGGCCACCGCGTCCGTACCACAGATTCATGCGTATTTGGTTGGCCCAGAGATACCAGTACGAAAGGTATAGCGACCAGGACTCGGGTTCGGACGTGGGTCGCGGTGGGAGCCACATGGCGCAGCCGAGGATCTTGGACGGGTTCGTGGTGTCGCGTGCGACGTGGAAGAGGCCATGTTCGATGCCCCAGCGGCAGCGCAGGGTGAGGGATACGCGGTTTCGGGTTAGAGAAACCTAGGAGGGTTAGCAACGCGCGCGAGACGGAGACTGAGGTAGGTACCTTTTCGCGATCTGGGAAGACCCAGTTGTTGTAAGGGTCATTAGCGAAGGCTTGCTGTATGGTATCGATTGCGCCGTCGATATCGGCCTCTTTCATGCGCGTTACTTGGATAGGCATTGTGAGAGGTTCTGTGGTGTTGCGGTTTTTCGAGATTCTTCGTGTCACGGCGGCAGTAGATACGAAGATGTATGCGCCAGTCTCAAAACTGGCAAACTTCGATAGCCAGCCATGATAGGTGCGGGGAGGTTTGTAGAGCTTGTCGCATGCAAGCTGTGGATAGGTGATGAGATGGGAAGGTCTAAGCGACCATCACGTGCATTGCGGGGCCTTCCAAGGTTCCGTTCGATGCTTATCTGAGCAGGCGCGTACGAACCATCTTCACCAATCCTATCTGCAGCTATCTTGGCCTTGTTACACAATTTCAGCTTGGTAACAATGTCAGCTTTCAGGAAGGAATGTCCGGCCCTGGTGCCTTGGACATACCCTATCCACCATGGAGACTTCCAAGCAAAGACTCAGACGGGCTATGCGACTGCCTGGCCCAACTATTGGCTTGAAACGATCCCAAACAGATACTACAAATGGCCAAGCTCAACTGCGCCTTGGTTATCAGGCTGAAGGTGGGGTAGAGCTGTTGGCAGCAGGTCCACCTCATCTCCGGCCCATGCCCACTTCTCTGGAATACAGAGGCGTGGCAGAGTTGACGGACAACACTGGGTTTGGCACGCAAACAGAGCATAACGAAGAGAGGCCCTTGACGCTACAACACAATCGTCGACATACGGCCGGAGGCATCACAAGCTCCCTCAACCTACAGCCTGCTCCACGTCTCAACGACACGTACATGGAACCTGCTGACATCGACGAGCGACCCATCATCAAAATCGTTGAAACTCCTAGAAGAACATCATCAGCGGACGGAAGCGACCTAATTCATATCGAACGAGATCCATTCTGCAGGCCATGGGACTCTAAGTCAATACTAAATCGTATATTGTCGGAGATGGCTGTTGCAAGCGCTCGAGATGCTCTCCAAAGCCTTGGGGTCACCGATCTGTGGCTACCGCTGTCGAAACAACTACTCAAACGATCACTGAATGACCCATATCATGTCTCAGAGTTTCTGAAGCTACAAGATCGACATCTCAGTGCGGTTCTTGGGCGTTGGAAGCAACTTGCCCCAGGAGAAGAAATACATGATATGATGTTCAATCACTGCGAGTTTGAGGACGACGAAGAGATATTTGAGGATAATCGGGTCTTCGGTGAAGGATTAGTTGGCCTTGTCGAAGAGGTGACAGTACGATCGCGAGAACCACCCATTATATGCGTGCGGAAGAAGATCATGAGACCTAAACAGCTCAAAGCGCATCAAAAAATCATGTCTGCGTTCATGCGAGAGATCAGAGTCATGCGTCAGGTCAATCATCGCCACTGCGTACGTTTCCTTGGGAGTTACACGGACAACGAGTCTGTCAATATCCTGTCACTCCCCGTGGCTGAGATGGATCTTGCTGCATTACTTGATAAACATTTCGGAGATTATGAGTGGCCCATACTCTACAAAGGAATCGACTGTCTCTGCAATGGGCTGTAAGTGGATGCCCTTCTGCCCTTCCACATAACTCAGTCAGGAAGTCCGAAAGTTTGCGGATCACATGCCCGACTGCACACTCGGCATGAATAGAAACATTTGCTAACAATCGTCTAGATTATATCTTCACGATAACAAGATCCGGTAGGTGTACTACTATGTAGTCAAGCGTACATAGGCAAGCCCCGCCGCATGAGCGCTCCCATCTGCTGATCCAAGTAATCTGTTACTCTGACAGTAGGACTGACGCGACTTAGGCATGAGGATCTGAAGCCGCAGAACATTCTCATACAAGGTCCCAACATACTACTCACCGACTTCGGCTTCAGGTAGGTTTCCTTTCCAGCTCGAACACTAGGTTGCTAACTGTACATAGCTTAGACTTCTCTGATGACTCTGTTTCGACAACTACCGGGCGTCCATCTGCATGGACGATTCGCTACTCCGCGCCAGAAGTTTTGGAATCCGAACCACGCAACCGAGCTAGTGACATATTCTCTCTTGGATGTGTTCTGGTCGAGATGATTTCGGGACTCTACGGACGCAGTCTCTCTGAAGTCAAAGATCATTGGAAGAGAACTGGTAACGGGCAGTCTAGTTTCGCGCGCAACTCTGAGGCGACATCTTCTTGGTTCGCTTTGCTGTCAGAACATCCTGACAGCGGCAGACTCAAACCCATTGTCGAATTCCTGCCAGACCTGCTAGTCACAAAACGGCTTGATCGACCGTCGGCTCGCACAGTTCTTGGTAGATTGCACAATCTGAGTCTAGTCCTACCCGACGCACCCCATCTTAGCAACCCTTGTTGCGGGCCGCCACCGACATTGATGGGCAACGATCAAAATACCTTGCAAAGACAAGATAACCCACCGTTCTTGCCTGACAGTCGGGACTCTTGCCTGCCATAAGAGGCGATGGCATAAGCAATGCTATACTTCGACAACGCTATAGCCAACTCGCTGCCAGATACGACTGCTCTTACCTCCTTACATACAGATCTGCGCACCAACAGCGAGTGGAGCTGAACATACCGTGCATGGGACTCCATTGAGAAAGTGTTCAACATGCAACTATTGCAGCGATGAGCTGGCCATACGAGCAAGTCCAGTCACCTTTGGGCGATGAAATCATACTTGGGCATGTCATCGTACTTCACGTTCTCTTACTCGATTTGTTCTCTTGGTGGGTTCTCAGCGTCATGACTACACCAAAGGGCACGTGATAAAGAAAAGGAAAGAGGGGAGACAGGTAGAACTGATGGTGTATGGGATTCAGTTGCGAAAGGACAATGTATTCATGAGCTGCGATCCAAGCAATGAGACCGAAGTTGCAAGGGCCAATTGTATCCCATGGTCCACACGCTCAAAAGTACGCTGCGCATCAAACGTACGCTTTTTGTGTGACTCAAAAACCTAGATGCGCAGACGCATGCTTACCTTTTCCCTTAACCAACATCACAACGAATCAAGCAACCAAAAAGCTGCATGATTGCTTTTCGTGACCAAGACATTCCGCTTCCGCAATAACGCTCATACACACGCAGCACACACACATCGCGATAGTTCTACACACGAACCCACATACTCACCGCTCGAACCCAAAAGCCCATACTCACATATGCGCTTATGTCAACATGTTCGCACAAAGCAAGCCCCGCACTACACTACAGCACACTACCCCAACCCCAGCCCAACGTCTATTCGTCATGGGATCGACAGTCCTGCATGGCCTGGTCAGTCAGCCTACCGAACCCAGTCCAGTCCAGTCCAGTCCGATGACACCCTCCCGCACTGTGCGCGGGCGAAGCGAGTGAGCATGAGCGGTTCCGGATAGCGAGTGCGAGTATGCATGGGAGCTGGTAGACCTGTTTTGACCGGGCCGTTGTTGGGTTGGGAGTTGATGGTCGATGCGGGTGTGTGGCATGACATGTGTGGCGAGGAGGCGCTGCTTTTTGTCCTGGGGGGCTATGCTATGCGATGCTCTGAGTCTGCGGTGATGGATGTGGCGAGGGACATGTACATGGTATTCGTACTTGGGCTGCGTAGTCGGCCCGCTTTGTACATGTATGTTAATACTTATCAGTGGATGAAGGTTACCGGCGTTGTTGATACGAACGTCTATCGTGTTAGGTCTATTGAATATTTTTGATGGTGTTAGGACATGAGTAGGCACATGATGTCAACGTCCGAACGTCGGCATTTTCTTCCTTTGCGATCAACATCTCGACGATCTCTCTTCAACATCTTAGGCTCTCGCTTGGCGATGTAGTATACCGTGAGAAATCAGCTGATTCGCCGGGTTATACAACCTTGTGTCCGGCTTTTTCCTTGAACCGTGGCGCTGTAAAGGTTAGGTATGAGGAACAGGCAGCCAACCTTGTTCGGATATAGAGCATGGATGCAAGCGCAAATACGGAATGAGACGGGTTGGATACTTCGTGAGCTTCCGCTTAAAGGCACGATTATCGGCGTTGCATCCGTAGCGACGATCCGGAAATTCTTGGTTCCGAACTGCTACCTGGCATTTTAACATGCACATGGAAGGCACGGTGAATAGTAATAATATCCCATGATGCTAGGGCAGCAGAACCAGGCCGTGTTGCGAGATGCATCTGCCGGAGGGCAGGCGGATACGGGTACGCAGCGCAGCATAAGTGGGCAGCTAACGAGACGCAACTAGAGATTCGAAAGCGACAACCTTAGCCAGCCTTGGATCATCGTGGTACTTGTTGATCAACTGAGAGAACGCAGCCTCCGCAAAGTCGAGACCATCCGTATGACAGCGTATAGCGCCTGCATGTACCCTTGAACTGTAAAGGGTGGGTAACTATAAGGGCAGATAGTAGCACTTGGTGTGCATACAGGCGACCCGCTGGCGGCCGACGATTCAGTGTTGGGCAGTCAGGCAGCCAGTACGTGGGAGTGCGAGAGCGATCGGAAAGAGCGGAAGCAAAGAAAAAGTCGATGAAACGCAGTCCGGAAAGTTAAGCCACCGTGTTGTGTCGTGCGGGTAGTCCTTGAGCGGTCTGTTTGGGGCAACTCCAGGTCATCCTAGGCATCGGATTACTGTTAATGCTAGTAGCCAAGAGGGGTGGTGTTGCGAATGCGGGCGCTGATGGAGCGCGTACTAGCCGCATCGCCGTGAAAACATCGGTGTGTTCGACAAAGAGGCAAGCCGGGGCTGCCGTGGTCATCAGACAGGCTGGGAGGCAGGTGCGAAGGCGGCAAGTCGGGCAATAAGCGACGTGCGTGTACTCTACGCAGAAACCGATCTATGCCCTGGGCGCCCAAAAATAGGGCGTTCAATTTGCTGAGACCTACAAATCAGGACCATGCAGGTGTGACTGCTTCTGCGCATAATCGTAGGCGAATAAAGAAGGTACTTCGGGTCGTCGCTCAGTGGTGGAAGTGGACTTTTGGGATCGCCGCGCAAGCACAATTTAGCCTAGAGCATGTCTAGAATAAGAAGATAGGCGATTTGCCGATCTGGTGAGGTGGAAAAATTCATGGCGCATGCATGGCATCCGTGGGCCCGTTTGCACCGTCATACACCTGACGGGGAACTACTTGCATAGGAGCTTCCGCAAGCAAGTCTCAGTTGGCAACTCAAGGATGGTCACATCCACACAAAGGACGGCCCTTGTCAGCAGTGATGCACGCAGTAGTACCGAGCCTTGGATTGCATTTGACACATCGCCTGATGTAACAGCGGCCGAGTGCATGACTGGCGGGCACCAAGTTGTGTCTTACAAACGAATAGCAACTGCTATATAGGGTTCCGACTAGGGGTGTGCTGCTGGAATATTAAAGCGGAGTGCAATTGCCGGATTGGTGCGTAGTATTACAAGACTGAGATCGGTGGTGTAACTGTAAGCGGTAAGCATAATGCTAGAGGTGGCCCGACCTCGGATATTCTATGTGGCAGACGTGCTGATCGAGAAACTTTGCTCTATATTGGCAGCCATGTCGACACAAGTTGCAGCAACAAGCGCCTCAATACACCCTGATTCATGATGACGACCGGATCCATCGCTCCTCATGATGCATTGTTGTATTGGCTTTGAGGCGGTTGGTGGCAGCTAGGTACCGAACCTAAAGAGGTGCGACAGGCAAAAGGGTCGCGGTGGAGCGGCAGAAGGAAAACAAACGCCCGTACTGCGTGAAACCGAGTCACCGCCGGGCCCTGGTAAAGTGGAGAAGATTTTGCGGAGATGCAGGCTGGCTTCAGCTGCTGCGTCGTAAGACATTTAGCATGGGATCGCCCGACAGAAGTTTCATCAGTTGCGCGCTCGGGTGAAGCGAAAGTACAGACGTGTACACGATACCCACGGTCCGGCATGCTCGTGCGGCAGTTTTGGCTAGGTAAAAGTGATGCAGAGTCATGGCTTGTTCTTGTTAATGTACCAGCAACTTGTACACACAAGCGAGTCAACGGCTGTGATCTGGCACAATGGCGGTCTGACTGGTCAAACTCGTACCCCGGTTACGAGCGCATATCGTGTATGTGGAAATGCCATCTTGCCCCATGGTCGTAGCCCTAGTGATGTTGAGTGGGGTGTCGGTGTCCGATTTCCTCTTCGTGCGTCACACGCGCATGTTCGAGCTGCTGTACCGCTGGTGCTTGCCTGAGGTGTGCAGTAGGACTTGTTTCCGGCAAATATCCAAGATTGCGTCGAACACAGCTTGCAGCAGTAAGGAGGCTCACCGACGAAGCTAGTGTGGCTGCTGATCCAAGCAGACAGGAGGCTTCAACGGAGGACAGCGATTGGACAAGGGGCTCTCGACGTTGAGCAAGTGGGCTCGCGAGCCGCCTGGTGAGGCTAATGCTCGCTGGCGGGCAAGGATAAAGTGCCGCCGCGCCCGCAAAGAGAATTTCGCGTTCGCATGGGCCGACCATGATCTAGAACACATCACACGCAGACAGGCCGATACCATGCTAAAGGATCGTCGTCGTCCACAAATAATGCAGCTACCAAGCCGACCGAGTTCTTTTTCATGCAACTG